GGGGGGGGGGCATTAATGGGTTGGGGGTTAGTTATCAGTATTCACTTGATTCACTTGATTATCATGTATTTGTATGGTTTCAACATTGAAATTTCAGGAACTCAACCCCGCATTGCAACACAAATTACCCATGCTAAACACCAGACACCCCAAAGTGTCGCCTGGTTCTGCTTTTAGCAGCAGTGAGTAACTTCTTTGTGTAGAGCTGTCATCATTTCCACACACAGTGTTTATGAACTTTATGAAACTAAAGCGGTTTTGTTGTGATTCCAGGTTGAGAAAATGATTTGATGGTAAAACTTTATCTACTGAGTACTAAACAGCTGTAAAGATTTTATATGTGTATTTATTACTGCTGTCAGTGTTAATCTCATTAAAATGACGTTAACGCTATAACCGCATTAACGGGGCAAATCTCTGTTAGCGCGGATCACCCCATGCGTGGGGCTGCATGGCGCTAACACTTTAACGAGCTAACTGTGCTAACGCGTTGACGCCGTGCAGCCCCACGTGGCGTTAACGTTATTTTAAGGAGATTAATTCTGAAAGCACTAGTATTTATATGTATTTATTGAGAATGTTGGTTAAAATAACTACTTTTATGGGGAAATCTATGGTTTATGTATAGCTGATATTTTGTACATTATAGTGATTGATGTAAAGCACTTGAGGGAATAATAAAGTTTGAGTCTTGTTGGTTGTCGCACATTTTTATTCACATACTATAAAACCATCTTCCTGTACAGGGAAGTGGTTTTAAGAGGTCCTTAATGGAGATCTGGGGTCCAGAGAGTTGAAGGAGTGGTAATTCTGGGTTTGTCAACTGTGAGCTGAGGGAAAATATATATGTTCTGTTTCAGAAAGAGAGTTAAGCTAAACCCCGAGTCATCTATCTGGGTAATAGACTCTGTAAACCTAAGCTACGTACTGGCAGCTTTTATTTGACAGGTTCCTCTGATTCCTGCCCTCCTTCAGGCAACTGACTGACATTTTGCAGTTTCTTATTCAGTTAATATCAAAGCAACAGTTTTATTAATCTGTGGAAATGTGTGTCTTTACAAACATAATATAATTTAGATGATTTTTATATTTAACATATTTGCCAACCGTTAACTCAAACTACAGCTGTCAGCCTCATCCACGCGCTGGAATATTTACTATACTATACTGTAGGACTCAGTTAATAAAACAAGGCTTATGGACAAACACTGATGAACCTTTAATGGGAAAACACCTCACACTCCTGACATGTTGTTTGAGAAGATGTGAACGTTTGACAGTGAAGATCGGTGTCAAATGGTAAAGAAAGCTGTACTAAATGTAGTTTAATTTGACTCTTTGATTAGTCTGGATGTGTTCCAAGCTAGGATTCAATAAAATGCTCTTAAACAATTTTGAAATTTACAATAGACAATAGTGCTCAAAGTTTGAGCTTCAACAGCTCACCCCCTGAATATCACCAAATTCCTCAGTGGATTAAACTGGAGGCTTTGCTTCATACTTAGCCATTGTCATGATGACTCATGGTGAAGCACCACTGGCGATGGCTTACAGTTAGCATCCACAAACGCCCTAACTCTGATCTGATGACGTAACACTTTTCAAAACAGACTTTTAGACAACAGGTGGAAATGTGTACTTTTCTAAAACTTACAGAGACTGTGTCTTTAAAAGAACCACCCAAAATCAATTCACTCAAAACACAAAACGGATCATATTTTAAAAATTGTTTATTGAAGCTAGTCAGATTAAAAGACACACCTATCAGTAGTAGATACCATCTTCCTCCCAAAAATACAAATTCAAAAGTTCTTTTTAAAACAAATCCCTGATTAAAAAAGAAAAAGGATCACTTGAATGGGCAGGATCTTTATAATCGACTGCTCTTAGACACTTATCACACAACTCACGAAGTATCCTATCTGCTTCTCCTGCTCTTGGAAATCTTACATATTGTTCAGATCAGTGCATTTAGTCTATTCCATAAAATCTATTGCTCTATACCGTTTGATTGCAAAGCAACAAAAAACGTGTGCAGCTTAGATTTGTAGCGTTGCACTTGGACATGCTCCTCAAAAGTGCAGGATGGGCTCATTTGGATTTAGCAAAGCCCACCCTGTTGTTGTCACGATCGAAGACTGTGTAGTACTGGCCAATGAAAACGTCTCCCAGAATCCATAGGGGCCCAGCAGGTGGAGGGATGTCCAATCCCATGAAGCCACTTAGACAAATAGTCTTCCCAGCCTGACTCTCCTAATAGGAAGACAAAGATAAAGTCAAGAACAGGTGAACATGAAACGACCATCTTTTACATAATTCAGAGAATCTGAAGCGCTCGTGAGCAGGAACGAGGAAAACAAACTGATCCCTCCTCAGACACGAAGCCAGCCCTCTGCCGGTTGTGCTAAATCCAACAAAACTGCATTTGTTTGGACTTTAATGACGCGAAACACAGTCACAGTGTTGTTTTGTCACATCAGATGGGGACGCTCTGCCGCCCTCTGCTGGAAACAGTCTCACCTGGAGGACATACTGCTCTCCAGTCAGAGTGTAGCTCTGTCCGCCTACGTTGAAGGTGATGACAGGCAGCGATGGGATCTTACTGCAGTTCACCAAGTACTAAAACACAAATTTCAACAACACTTTGTTTTGTATTGTATTTGTGTGAGTGATGTTTGAAGGATTTTATATCACAGTGTTATTCAGCAGATTAAAGGTGAGG